TCGGAGACCCAAAGAAAGTAAGTTTAGACGAGGCTCAAGAAGTTGATAGGCTCTGTACAATCTGTGAGGGGCAGAAGACTGTAGATAAATTATGTCGGCATGTGTTACTGAACATGTGGTTCAACCAGTACTGGGCAACGGCTGGCAACCACACTTTAACACGCTTCTCCTTTTTGCAAGGTTCAGAGCTTGTTTGCTACAAACACAGAAGAAAAAGTTAACGCCTAGATTTGTGTATTACCTATAGCAATACAACAGAGTAATGTTACCAGGGGCCGATCAAAATGGCCTCGCGATCTAAGGCATGAACTGTCTCCGCCCGCTCAAACACTGCGGTAGTGAATTCGAATCCCAGTGTAGGTATGAATGTTTAGGTAGGTGTAGGTAGCGGCCTTGCGGTGGGCTGATCCCACGCCCAAGGAGTCCTACTGTAAAACAGGCCGGAGAGCACACAGATTATTATTATTATTATTATTATTATTATTATTATTATTATTATTATTATTATTATAGCCAAAAATAGGAAAACATGGAGAAGGCAAGGCTGAAATATGGTGACGAATGTAAGGACGTAAGAAAATATGTCTAGAAAATATACCCAGATATCAAGATGCGATTTCGAACGCTCCAGATTAAATCGTTTCATTAGTAACTTTGAAGTACTGCTCTAAAATAGGTCCTGAAAAAAAAATAATTTCTTTATGTTGCCTACAATACACTCATATCTTCCGGTTAACATTTGTAGAACATCAAAAATTTTATTTATGAAGAAAGCAGTCTTCTGGAATGTAGCACCGTCGTGAAAATCTTAAAGCTTACAATTTTATTTATATTCTCATAATCTTCTCTGCTTCATCGGAATATTATGATAGTCCTCTTCAAACCGTTTCTCGACGCTACATTGTCCCGCCTTTGGCAGTGACCTTAAATAACCTACTTCAAAAAATAAGAAAAGAAAAAGAAACCTTTCATTAGTCGGAGCCCGCCCTGCTGAACACTAGCAATACATATTGCCACAGGTTGCCTATGGTTGCCTAAGAATTCCCGTTCTTTTCTTCCTCTGCTCCCATTTTGGAGCTTAGGGCTGATTTCCCAGTTTCTTGATCCTTTTACAGGTAGAAGGACCCCTTGACGTGTGATCAGCTCGTCGCAAGACCTCTACCTTAACACAGGACACCAAATATCCATGACTTGTGTGGGATTCGAACCCACGATCCCGGCTTCCGAGCGAGCGAAGACAGTGCATACCCTAGACCGCTCGGCTACAGTGACCGCCTAAGGATTCCCACAGCTCTTTTTAAATACGTATTTCAGTTCCGTGGAAGCGGGGAATATTGGCTCCAAATAACTCGTTTGTCCACTGACGGCATTGTTCAACACTGAATGATGTTGCCCCTCTCTCAAGCAAGAGATGTTCATCTGACATTAGCATGCTATACTGAAGCACAAGTTGCCTCAGCTAGAGGCATCCTAACGCAGGTTCGGTGGTAAGGTCATCCACATGAGGAATTTATATTGGTTGTTGCGTAGGTGAAATGTTCTGAAAGCAAATTTGAATTTTAAGATTTCTATCTTTTTTGGGTAACACGCTATGTAGTCAATTGAAAGTCAACCAATTACACGGTGTTATATCCAAGAAAACAGAATTCTCCATAACCACCGCTGTGACAGCCTCAGATTCTGCAAAATGTATACAGGTATTATGTATGCCTACAGTAACTAATCAATAAGCATATTAATCCTATAAAGAACAAACATTTCTCTAGTAACTAATCTTAAAAATGACGTCTTCTTCATGTCATAGTGGCGCTTGAAGGACACGAGAGGATCACAACATTATTCGTCCCAGTCTTTGCATTTATATTCGTACATTTTACAGACTTATTGTCTCAACATTTTACACCGTTTCCCACAAAAAATACCCGTTATTTCTAGTGCTCTTACTTCTGTCACTGTGTTCTCCGTCCTAGCAGAAAGGTTCAGTGGTGAAGTTCTGGACCTGTGTTCAGCATGTACTGGTTAGAGTCTTGAGAAAGTTACCATCTGATATGACTGAGGTTTCTCGTGGTCTCTTCAAGTGAATGGTAGTTTAGTGGTTTAGGAAGGCCAGTTCGTCTACTTTCATAAAATGTCTACTCAGCAGTGAAGAATGCCTTCCCACCTGTTTCAGTGCTACTTAAATTCTGCAGCTGAGACAGCATTGTGAAATAGTCAAAGCATATCAATTTCTGATCATAGTAGTTGGGCCCTTTGTAACCACGCCATGCCGAGTCCTCAGGTTTCAAGTAGAGAAGAAGGCCCCCAGTTATGATATTAAGTAGTCATGGACAGTCGAAGAGCGGTGATGCTCCATATTCGACATATATTGAAGCATCCTGTTACACCGTATTTATCCCACACAAATCAGGTATGTGCTAGCCAATCACGGTAGCCGCGCGGTCTAAGACATGAACTGTCTTCGCTCAATTGGAAGCTGGGATCGTGGGTTGGAATCCAACTCAGGGCATGGATGTTTGGTGTGTGTATTTATTCTTGTTTCTGCTATCCTGTGTTTATGTAACGGCCTTGCGACGGGCTGATCACTCGTCCAAGGAGTCCTACCGTCTGTGAAAAATGTTTACGGAACTGAATAAGAGGCCAGGGCCCTGAATGGGCTGGAAGAGCCATTGTAAAGAAAATCAGACGTGTGATACTGTATATGAAAACTGCTGCTCTGTAGTTTTCCTATAAAATATTATACACTTCATTATGGCCACTTAGACCGAAACGTGTAGTGTAAAATAATGAGGAGAGACAAAGCAGCCTAGAAGTTTGAATTCAAGGTATAGACTGAGTTGCACACAAACAGTGACGTAAGAATCATAAAAGTGGAATCCATGTTAGAGGTTAAGTGGCGTCTTAAAATCACTCACTGTAATATCGAACATCTTATGAAGTGTTATAATGGCCTCGACTTTGGAGGCACCCGTGAATGAGACGGTGTACGTTCGGGTTCCACAAATAAAGCAACATTTCTTGACTATTTGGGCAGCTAAGCTACTGAAAGATGATTATGTTCTACCGATCTAATTAATAAGTTACCATTGCCAGATTTATAAAACGCTGAATAAAATATTTCACGACCGTTCTAGAACCGCTCAATGCATAATGTTAATAAGGGCATAAGTTAATTTGAAAGGTTTTGTCATGTCGTTGACCATTTTGGTATTAGAGTTGCAGGCCAATAACGAACTCCTCTGCGATATTCTCTGGTCTCTTCTCGTTTCACTTTACAGTTTGATCTCTCGTAAATTTCTAGTTCTGCAAAAAATGGTGCTACTGGTGACGATTTGTCTGCGCTACATCAGACACTAAACACTGCGGCTCCTAACACTGTCAGGCAAAGAGGAACATGAAGTACAATGAAGTATTTGCGAATCTGTATTCAGAGAACATCACTGCTCATCTGGTAATTCGATTTTACAAGACGCAGTCCTTCTGGCTTGCTGGCCAGTTTTATGATTTGGAATATAAAATATTAATTTGTATCCGATCACAGCGGCCGTGCGCTCTAAGGCATGTCTTCACCCGCTCAAGCATTGAGATCATGGGTTCGAATCCCACTACATATATTAATGTATTTCTTTTGCCATGTACATATAATGATCTTGCTACAGGCTAATCATCACCAGTCCAGGGAGTCCTACCGACTGTCGGAAAGATTCAGATTTCAGAAGTAATTAATTCTGAATTGGCCTAATCCATCAAGGTAGAAGACAATTTATTGAACTCATGTCCTGGTTCGGTAAGTTGAGTAACAGTAATGTTCAATTGCTATTACAACGGGTTAAAACCCCGGGAGAGATACAGGCCACGTGGTTCTGATTGTACAAAAAGTGGATGACAATGTAAAAAGCTTGTTTCCTGTTATTACGTAATTCAGTCAGCAACCATATTGAAACAAGAAGATATAATTTATAGATTTTGCTGAAAAAACATATTACTCATCTAAATAAAATCAGAAAACTAGAAGCCTGGCAGGATAATGAAAAGATCTAAAACCTATCGATGCATTTCCCGTACTGATCACAATGGTCTGGAATAGTAGTCGGTAAGGACGGACACATCTTTAGTGAAAATATTTGAAGCTCTTCCTTAATCATGCATTATTAAAAATATTAACCAGATACATGGATCAAATTCCTTCTTGAGAAGCTGATTGACGCTCAGCTAGTCATGAATTTTCCATCTTTTCATAACATTCGAAGATTCATAATCATATTCGTAACATTCCACTAATGTACTACTTTCTCAGCCAGAAGAATGCAGTTTACAGCATCAAGATCTAATTTTACAAGAACAGTTTTAATATTATCATTTCGTCTATGCGTATATCTGCCAAATGATCCTTCTTATCAGGATTTCAGACTAAAATATAATATGCATCAATACTTTTGTAGAGTCCTGCAGTAGTTTCGTGAATACTTAACATGTTTTTTTAAAGATATTATTTTTTTTTTCTCTCAAGAATCCATTCTGTACATGAAAGCATTCTGTACAGTAATCATTTGTTTCTGTTAATGTGATTGGCTCCTTTAATTAAATTAATATGCAAACAAATGCATGTGAATGACCATCCACCTGTAAAACCGGAAAATAATTTTATATTCTATATATTTTATATGATTCTAATATTTTTTGCAATCAACGAGCCTGCGTATGCTCAATCACTACATACGGGACGTAATAAATGGCATTCAAATTCAAACCAATTTTGTATTTTTGTGTCCAAATCATATACGTTTCATGGGGGATGATGTAACATGTGTTCCTCATTCAACACGTGATGAAGGCATGTTCTCCTCACCCGAAACCAGGCCATCAGTCTGACAGTTCACAACGCATTTGCTTCCTGCGTTACGTTGCGAGAGAACTTACGTAATAATAATGCCTCCCAACGAATCGATTCCTGTATTCCAGACGGGAAGTGAATTGCAATAAAGTTCTTGGAGACAGCTTACCCTGACCGTGCTAAGCGCAGCAGAGAAGAAGAGGCCATAAGCAGGATGACCCAGAGCATCTCGCGAGGTCTCCTTCCTGAAGGACTGGAGGCGGTGCACACTTGATTATGATGATGTTTAGTGTTCCTTGACCTTTCTTGATGACCTCGATTACTACTACGACTACTAGCAGTTTCGGATGTTATTTTTTTGGCCTTCTTTTCCTTGCTTCTCGTCCTATTTATTTCTCCCCTCTGTTCCTGTTATCTGGTGGTTCTTTGGCTTGCGATGACGTAGACATGTTGGAGATTCCTCCAGTGGCCACTCTTTCTCTTCTTCTTCTTGCTCTTCTCCACACCCACCACAAAAGCACTGACACCTCCACCACTGGCACCGCCGTCACCACCACAATACACTGCCATGTACAAGTCCCATTCAGCCGGTGTCTGAGGACCAACTAACCATGAAGGTAGCCGCTGTAACTGATGGTCCATGGGATTCCCGAAGGGGGGCCTTTGCGATACGGTGCTGCGGCTACGTGCAATGTGGGAGGGCGCAGTGACGGGAGCTACATGACAGAGATGGAGATAGGAAACACACACAAGCTGAGGAGGAACATGAAGGGTGGAGGGGATGTTGATGTCGATCTGTCGCCGCCGACAAAGAAGTTTCTCATCCGACCAAAGAGTAGCTGAGAGGGTGCGCAAGGTAGTTTAATATCCAGCTTAGAATGATACCACAACCCCTCGTGTGCGATGCTGGTTCTAATTACCTTGTAGAGGCGGGCGGGCGGCATTGATTAGAGAGGAGCGCTGCATGCGCGGCTGTCGACGTGCCACGATACAGGAACAAGGACCGTCAAAGAGGACTCTATATCCCCTTCACATAATCCGCTTCGCTGCTTTTGGCCTTTACGCCTGTTAAATTTGCAGTCAATATTGATCTTCCTAATAAACAATGATCGGCATTCACCCAAGTACGCACAGAAAATGACTGGAGACTATAGTAAGGCTCCGGTTACAACACAGACTAAGCAGTAACAAGTGTCCATGGAACCGAAGAATGTTTATAAATGCACAGATTAAATACTAGGCGATTTTATTTTTCTTTTTTTCTTTCACGTATATTGAATAATACATTCCTTATCATATTCCTTACGATGACGTGTTACCTTCTCATTACACAAGGCGCTCAGAGATTCGCAGCCGGAGAGTTGATTGTGAACCCAGAGACACAACGTTTAGTATCCTTTGTAAGGAAGGAAAACAAACAGAAACCACTTTGCAGTTGGTAACTGTGAGGGGTTGGTTCTCACTGAGGTCTCGCTGGCTGCCCGTACGGAGCGGGGTCCGCTCCTGCCTTCTCTTGGCAGACAGCCTGCCGGGGCGTCTGCAAGAGCGAGCAAGTGAAGTGGGTGGGCGGGGGGACGGAGCCCTGGAATGGAAACCGAAAACAGAAATGAAAGATGGACCGATTGGATGCCAAACTTCCTCCAGCATAAACGTAGGTTCCCGAAGTTACGTGACAGTTATTCAAAAGGAGCCCAAAGGAGTTCCTCTCGCCATTTTGTTCTTGCTGTCATATTCCATAACAAAAACTTTGGAACTTTATGTCAAGTTAGCACAAGGTCAGATGATGGTAGTTCCCGGGACAAAATATCTGGCTGTCTTTTTCTTGAAGGGCCTGTAGATTTCTCTAAAATTTGAGCTGCTAAGTCTCCCCCAAGTTTTCATAGATTTGTGCTTACGGCCATGGACAGAAAGCTCTAGGAAGAACTTGTGACGCGTACTTGCTGTCAGATGTGGTGAGGCTAGCAGGAACTATGACATCAGTACTTATACACTTTGTTTCACCGTATCCGTGTATAACCTCCAACCGTAGGCACTAAAGTTTTCGTTTGCTTTAATCCTATTCTCCAACAAGTATATAACATAAATTTTCTCATCCATAGTCTATTCTAGTAATTTTTAATGTAAATAGAGTGGCTAATATAGACTTTAAAATTATGGGATGTCTAAAATCAACCCAAAATATAGTTTCCTGAGTCCCAGCTTCCGTTAAAATTAATATAATTGAGAAACTGTGTCGAATTTTCACTTACTGAAGATTTCCTGTATAAAATTTTATAGGCCTACGAAAATATATTCGGGAATGCCTTCAGTTTATCATCTCTCCCAGTTGTGGTACAAGTTGCGCCCACTTTATCGTCCTTGTTTTTCATTATATTAATACTAGGCTTATTGTTGAAAAATCAATATCATGGAAAACCTTTATTTAATTTTCTCCATTGTATCCAAATGTTCTACGCAGAAGCTTCTTATCAAACCTCCTCAGTCCGTGTGATCTCCTAGATTGGGAGGAATAGTATCACATCTAAAACGAACAACAAATAAAATTATTTATTGTATATACATTTTAATTTTTAGATATTTGGATGAAAGACAGAAATAAGTAATATTAATTATTAGCTTATTCTTCTTCTTAACTTATTCCAATTTTTTTACTCTCTTTGCTTTATCTTTAACTTTCGCGTTATTCGCAAACAAAGGCCGCCCAACAGCTTAAGCGGTTAGTCGCTGGCTTCCCACCGCGGCGGCCTGGGTTCAATCCCCGGTCTGGTCAAGTGGGATTTGTGGTGAACAAAGTGGCGCTGGGGTAGGTTTTCTCCTAGTACTTCGGTTTCCCCTACCAATCTTCATTCCACCAAATTCTCCACCATCATAATCACCCGGGGCAAGTACAATAGGCCAATCACTGGCCGCCGTGCTAAGTGGACCCAACTGGACTCCACCCCCCACTATGAGAATTTAATATTCGCAAACATTATTACTGAAACCTTTACGCTATCCCGAACATCGCAAATGCATACTGGGGAGTAGGGTCCCGAGTAACGGCTTCAGTGCCTGCGTTATCAGTAGATTGTAATTTATCTACTTCTGGGATCCTTGATAATATATATATATATATGTGTGTGTGTGTGTATGTGTGTATCCGCTTACTGAAATGCATATATGAAATTGAAGGTGCATTTCAGACTGTGGTCGTGCAGGTAAAAGGGGTTACTCATTCAATGTCGCTGTTGAAACAAAATAATCCAAATTTTACCGAAATTCTGAGCGTACAGTTTATTCATAGAGGATCGTGGACTTTACATTTTATTCCTGCACACTACAACAACATTGTAGTACAGCTTTACGCCATACCAGACATATTCGTTTGAACTTGTAAGACATGAAACATACGCAGTAGAGCTGGGGTATAATGATGTGCATTATGATGATGGAATGCTGTAATTTGTACATGAACACCCTTACCACTGATACTGCACTTACCATGAACAATCCTTCTATAACTCATGATTAAACTTTGTATTCCTGTAATCTTTGAGCCGGAATAGCGTAGTCGGTATAGCAACTGGCTAAGGGCTAGACGAATCCCTGTAGAGTCAAGAATTTTCTCTTCCCCACGTTGTCCAGGCCGACTCTGGGGTCCACCCAGCCTTCTGTCGAATGAGTACAGGGGCTCTTTCCCCGGGGTAAAGCGATCAGTACGTGAAATGGACCATTCACCTCCAACTAATGCCGATGTCGAGAAAATGTGATCTATACATCCATTCCCCAATACGCCTTCATGGCATAGTGCTTAATTAGTAATGCACAGGGACAACTTTACCTTTATCTTATTTATATAACATAGTCTGTTATAATGTAACGCAGGTGTAGAACATAAGTCCTGTCCTTGTTACTTTCTCGTCATAAACTCCATGGAACAGGGACCTTCAGGAATTCACACTCGCTCAACTAGTCAAGAAGTACCATGCGTTTTATGGAAACTGAAGATTTATTTCTCTTGATAAGACCTGTTTGCTGGTTCCTATCCGGTGCCAAATGAATCCAGCTTATCTCCTGCCCCCTGCTTCCAAATATCTGGCTCCAGTATTCTCCCGTCTACGTGTCACTGTACCAAACTAGCATCATTCCTTCAGTCTTCGGACAGCATTTCTTTATGTCTGTCTATTACTCATCTCTTCCATGCGTGTTGTGTGCCTCGACAAGATTATCGTAATTAAGTATCTAACTGAAAAATTGTGGTTTATTTGACGATGCTATGAGCACCACTCATGTAGCGTCATATAGTTCAGTTACTGGTGAACCCTGAACTGGACAGTTCTGAAAGGAAGCTGTAGGCGCATCCTAACGTTTGCATGGAGAAACTGAGAAAAATAGTATCTGGGTAAGGATACAGAGTATGAATCTGCTCCCCGTGCAGGTTACTCTAGGTTCCTGATGTTTACGTCCTATGGGGTGAAAAATATTTTGTTTTCTTAAGCGTCTTGTTCTCAATCGCCTGCAATCTGTGTTCTTCGTATACCGTGAAAGACGCTAAGCATCGTTATGATGTATAAGTTATAACAGGAAGAACGGTTTCGTCATCCTTCTGAAATCTATTGTTTGTTATTGACAGTGCGATGATGGGTGCGTTCTGAAATTTATTGTTTGTTAGTGCGATGATGGTTCGTTCTGAAATCTATTGTTTGTTATTGACAGTGCGATGATGGGTGCGTTCTGAAATTTATTGTTTGTTAGTGCGATGATGGTTCGTTCTGAAATGTATTGTTTGTTATTGACAGTGCGATGATGGGTGCGTTCTGGAATCTATTGTTTGTTATTGACAGTGCAATGATGGGTGCGTTCTGAAATTTATTGTTTGTTAGTGCGATGATGGTTCGTTCTGAAATGTATTGTTTGTTATTGACAGTGCGATGATGGGTGCGTTCTGGAATCTATTGTTTGTTATTGACAGTGCAATGATGGGTGCGTTCTGAAATTTATTGTTTGTTAGTGCGATGATGGTTCGTTCTGAAATGTATTGTTTGTTATTGACAGTGCGATGATGGGTGCGTTCTGGAATCTATTGTTTGTTATTGACAGTGCAATGATGGGTGCGTTCTGAAATTTATTGTTTGTTAGTGCGATGATGGTTCGTTCTGAAATGTATTGTTTGTTATTGACAGTGCGATGATGGGTGCGTTCTGGAATCTATTGTTTGTTATTGACAGTGCAATGATGGGTGCGTTCTGAAATTTATTGTTTGTTAGTGCGATGATGGTTCGTTCTGAAATGTATTGTTTGTTATTGACAGTGCGATGATGGGTGCGTTCTGGAATCTATTGTTTGTTATTGACAGTGCAATGATGGGTGCGTTCTGAAATTTATTGTTTGTTAGTGCGATGATGGTTCGTTCTGAAATGTATTGTTTGTTATTGACAGTGCGATGATGGGTGCGTTCTGGAATCTATTGTTTGTTATTGACAGTGCAATGATGGGTGCGTTCTGAAATTTATTGTTTGTTAGTGCGATGATGGTTCGTTCTGAAATGTATTGTTTGTTATTGACAGTGCGATGATGGGTGCGTTCTGGAATCTATTGTTTGTTATTGACAG